ACCAGCTCCATGTCCTGAGTCTGTTCCACCTCCTCCCTCTGCCAGGTCAGGGTGATGAAGGCAGGATAGAAGCCCATGGCCCAGCACCTCAGGGTGACTTCACCTTTAGGTCCAGGATGATGGGTCACATGTGCCTTTGGGGGGTCTGTGTGGAAGATTTAAGAAATCCCACAATTAACAAGGTAAACTGAAACTTGTAAAACAAGATAAATCGATGATTACACTGAACTATGTTTCTGTTTGAGCACTTCTGTCATCACACTAGTGACCTCCAGGTAGAGCTGGTCCCCTCAACACAGAACTGCACAGTTTCCTGGGGGACCCAGAAGCTAAGAGGGAATCCACATGAGCCAGCAGGTCAACATGGTCTTCCTTATGTATAAGTCATGCAGGAAAAGGATGAAGGAATGGAAAATAATTAATTCATATATGTGATTAAATTCATATCAAAATAAGAAAGTAGGGGCATGCACTTCATCACGGTGCCACCACTGAGGCTCAGCCACTGTGGCCATCTTGCTCTCCAGCCTTAACTGTCCATCCGAGTGAACAGCCATCACCAAAGTGAGCCTTAGAAACGTGGTGAACCTCTGACACTCAGCCAGAGAAAATGCCTCCACAATCATTGGAACCTCTGGGAGACAAAGATACTAGGTATTGTCACCCAGGATCCCTGGAAGTGGAGGGCAGAGGGACGAGTTGCCCGCGACCCCTGCACCTGTGCGCAGCAGTGTGTCCTTCCCGTTCTCCAGGTATCTGCGCAGAGACTGCACGCACTCGCCCTCCAGGTAGACCCTGCTGATCTCCCCAGCACCAGCCTGCTCCCACTTGCGCCGGGTGATCTGCGCCGCTGTGTCCGCCGCCGTCCACGTCATCAGGTCCTCGTTCAGGGNGATGGGAAAGGTTGGCAGGGAGCTCATTTCAGTGTGGAGAACTTGAGAAGGACCACACCATATAGGAAATTAACCCAGGGAGAGCCAGGTGCTGAGAGAAAAACAACCCTGCTAGTCATGACAACCAAAGACTTCAGAATGAGGTTCATGACCATGATGGTCTACCAAATCCCTAGTTTGCAAAGTAGTGTGTCCCTGTGACCTCGTCCCATGTGTGTATAATGTGTTTGGGTCATTTTCCCTCTCCATTCCTCTGTCTGTTTTTCAAGTCTTCATCCCCAGTGTTCCTCAGCTCTAATGGATCACTCATGGATTTCCCATGATCCTTCCTGGTAATACATAATTTTTGTTTTATTCCTTTTTTTTTCTTTTATTTATTTTTCAAGACAGTTTATCTCTATGTAGACCTGGCTTTCCTGAAACTCACTATGTAGACAAGGCCGACCTCACACTCAGATATCTGCCTGCCTCTGCCTCTCAAGTGCTGGGAGTAAGTTGTGTAACACCGTGCCTGGCTCCCTCTTGTTTTATGAGACAGTTTTTCACTGCCCAGTCCTGGCACATGGAGGCTTCATGCAGTCCACTTGTTTTCAGACATTGTCTGGACACTCCTCGAGCCTCTGGTTCCAGTGCAGAGCTGGTCCACTGGGTTAGTTTCCCACTGTCCTCCTTCTGTGAATTCAGGTCGTTCCCCTCCCACCTGGCCTTGATGCTCACATTGGCACAGCAGCCTGCACCAGCCCAGTCCCCAGCAGGGGGCTTAGGACAAGGACTCTGTCACTCCAGGACCTTCACAGACA